GGAAATGTCGTAGGCCCGTGTGCTCAGATTGGGGTGCACGTTAAAGAACCCCAGGTGGTCAAAATTTCCGGAACCCTCCACTACGGCGTCTCTCACAACCATATGGTGGTTTTGGGACGTTAAACCCCGCAAATCTATCACGCACAGACACAAGTTGCAGATGTTTGTAAAATCAGTTTTTTGCACTTGCGTGATGATGTCATTGGGGAACATGAGTATAAGCAACACTGAGCGATAAGCTGATATGAAGCGCTGGTGCTCGCGAGGATGAACGCTCTTACATAAATCGACTTCAGCGCATGGCACCTAACTACAGCTCACGTTAATCCGACGTCACGACTGTATCAGAGGAGTACACATGTTATCATGATATAGTTAGATAGCCAGCATGGCAACCACAATTACCGCTTCACGAACATTGGGGTCTACTTGAAAAATAGTTCTGAGACTTGGGGTGGCTTTGTGGTAGAATGCTTGGTTGCCATGTATATATATAATGCTTGGGTTCGATTCCTGCTGAGACCTTGACATTTATTCTTTGCATTCGTCAGATGAGCATTGCCGATGTCAAGTTTTCTTAACGCTCACGTGTTAAAACTGCTCCCGTGTGTTCTCGTTGTTGCTGGGTAGATTCTATATAAGTGTCGACCACCTGTGGCAGATTATACCTCATACCAGTGGCACATACCCGCCCGCAGGTTTGTGCCACTCTCTAGTGGAAGGTGCTTGACGGCGTACGCGACGGGATTACGAAAGCATTCATGTCCTGACTATCGCGTCCTGTTCATGAAATTTTCTTATCTTCCTATACTAAGTATGGTTTACGCGATCACGAGAGCACCCAGAAGTAAGCGGATAGATAGATAGATACATACCCTGATAGACGCCAATAGTGCTTGCAGTACGCAAAGAAAAGCTTCGCATCGAAAATGTTCGTCAGTGCTACAGTATATGTACCAGCACTATTTTTTAAGTGTGAATACACTTTATAAGCGACCCCAAACCATCCACCGCCGTCGGCGGCGTCCACAGCCTTCTCTCCATCTTTAAAAGAAAGAGGACTTGGCGGGCCGCAGCGCTACGCTCTACCGAATAAGCCACGGACGCGACGCTGATATCGGTGTCAGTAACGCGCCTTATCTTTAACGCCACTGCGCGCGTCCCCCCCCCCCCCCTCTTCACTCGCTCCTCCGCTCTCCTCGCTCGCTGCAGCTGCGCGCGCACCCCTCTCTCTCGCGCGCCCGCCTTCTCTCTCAGTCTCCCGTCGAGAGCGGGTCGCGCGATGGATGTCCCGGAGGCAACGCTACCATCAAGAACGAATGCCAGCACTGCACCCGTCGTTGGAGGTGACGGTACCGCGGTGGTTTCGCCGACGTTGGAAGACAAGGCGGCGCTGCGAAGGGCTCGTGAGACTGAACGTAACGCGGGCGAAGCGTGCAGCGGATGCCGAACTGCGTGCTCGCGAGGCCGAGTGCAAGCGGGCGAAGCGTGCAGCGGATGGTGAACTGCGCGCTCGCGAGGCCGAGATGAGGCGTCAGCATCGAGCATCGAGCCGCGACCCAAGAAGCGGAACGACAACGCAAGCGTCAGGCGGAGAAGGGCGATGAAGGCCGGCGTCAAGACGCCGCTCGCAATCGTCAACGGCGAGTGGACGTTCCCGAAGCCGTTCCAGCCAGTGAACGTGCCGCGCGGGAGAGGGTGCGAGCCCTGGACTTTGCTCGTCCGGACGCGTCGTGAAGTGTAAATATATAGTACTTCGTATATAATGTATCTGTGTACAAATGCTTCATGACAAACAACACTTAAATTCAATGATTACACTTTAATCATCATCATCAGTAATACAACTCCCAAGCATTTCACCGAGGGTGAACATGGTTAAGTGCGAATGCACGGGGTGATGCTATGAGGGGTATTTATTAATTCGCACTATTATATTTATTAATCACACTATGGTGCCTTTATGGTGTAATGGTTCCTGGCAATCGAAATTTGATCACACGGGGGAGTTTACGTTAACTCACTGGCGAATGCCAACGGATTTAAACTTTACTCCCCCTCATAGCATCACCCCGTGCATTCGCACTTAACCATGTTCACCCTCGGGGAAATGCTTGGGAATTTTTTTTAATGTAGCCATTCTCATATGGGCGTCGAAGTCAGGTTATTTTTCGTTGACCATATAGGCTTACCCTGAAATTCTCGACAATTAGAAGATTTGAGAACGTCGCGGCCGAAAATCCAGATGTAGAAGTACGATCTGTGTGACAGTATTTCTGCGAATGAGTGAGCCAGTTTCTTGTAGTAGTGAAGGGACACGATGATGTACCAGAGTGGACTGTGAGCAACTAACCATTGGTACGACTGCCACAGTATTGACCAACAGTTAGCTCAGAGCTGACGGTTCTTCATTGTATTTTGTCGAGTGTGTGAAATTTGTAGTCTTCATATGTAAGGCAAGAAAGAAGAAAAAAAAAAGATCGTGTCTCCTTTGAAGCGGCACTACATACATATCATTCGCATGGCATGTCAGCGTCTTTATTTTCACAATTTCGAACCTCACAGACATGAAAAAAAGTGGCAGATCCCACGTACAGTGGGAATCGATGATATGCGAAGCACGAATGAGGAAGGTTGATATGTAACTATAAAATCAGCACAATGCTACGACGTGGAGGTAAACGATGCCGTACATGACTTCCGTGTCATGACTATTAAGCTTGGATGTGTCGTTTACCTTCGTCATCTATTCACGTCACGTGGTACCAAATTTAGTATAAGTGGACATAGAGAAACGGCCACGAGCACGCTATGAGCGCGGTATGCTGTCGTGTTCTTACATAACACGTGTGTCAGCATTATCACGTTTGCCCCAGTCATATACTTTCGTCATCCTTTCACGTCGCGCAACAACAAATTTGGTACATTTTGAGTTATCAAAGCGGCCGCGAGCGCATCATGAATGGCCCAATATACTCCAATAAGCGTTGACGCGCGCACGCCGGGCACAGCGACGCTAAGTTAGCAAAACGCGAGCATGTGTGACGCCAGGCGCAGCCAGACGGATACCGGCGCGAAATGCGATATGCTGCATTTCACACCGAAATGCAGCATACAACATTGCGTCTCCCTCTTTTCTTGACGGAGGGGTGCCAGACGCACTTAAATGCACATGCGTCAAAGCAACGCAGCGCGGCACGCCTGCGACTATATGGCAAGACCGGTGCCTGGCGTGGCACCGGTCTTGGCACCGGACATAGGTTATTTACCTATGTCGTCCGTTTGCGTCGCGTAATACTGAGTTTGGTGCATGTGAAGCTAGTGAAACGGCCGCGAGCACATCATGAGCGTAACATGTAGTCATGTTGCTACATGACACGCATCTCATGTTTATCATGTTTGCACCAGTATCATATCTTCCTCATCCATCACGTCCCGTAATACCGAATTTGGTATAAATGAAGCTAGCGAAACGGCCGCCAGCGCATCATGGGCGTGGCATGTGGTCATGTTGTTACATGACACGCATATCATGATTATCATGTTTGCACCAGTCACATACCTTCGTCATCCATTCACGTACCGTATTACCAAATTTGGTATATGTGACGCCAGTGAAACGGCCACGAGCGCATCATCAGCGTGGCATGTAGGCATGTTGGTACATGACACGCATGTCATGATTTTCATGTTTGGGTCGGTTGCTTCTTTTAGGCATGCAATCATGTCATACCACACCAGTTTTGCAACATGCCATGTGAACTAAACCACCGTAAGAGCTGCAGGACCATGAAATGTAAATATTGACATTCATGACATAAATTTCAAGATTTTAATGTTACGACTAGTCAGATATGCTCTTCATACAGTCATGTTTGCCATACCAAGTTTGGTATCGATACCATTATCGAAAGGGCCAGGAGAGCTAAAAGTCGTAGGCGGCTAGATAAATAGATAGATAGATAGATAGATAGATAGATAGATAGATAGATAGATAGATACGCTCAAAGTCGCCGAAGTTCGCTAAGAAATGCTTCGCATTTAAAACTCAAAGGAATTCGCAAAACACGAAGAGCCGAACCACGTAGGGGTGCCCATTACAGAGTAATAGCTAAGCGGCTCAGCGGGTTGAGCGGAGACGCCGGCTGCGCATGCACGGCACGCCGGGGTGGCCAGCGTCTTTACGGGGAGAGTCCTCCTGGTAGGTGTTCTGTGGAGAGTCGCTCACCCGCTCATTTCCTCTCCTCAGCGAAGCGCGCGCAGCGGACGAGCGTGCGAGCGTTTTCAAGACACGAGCGGCAGCGGCATGTCTTCGACGGCACCGCCAAGCGCTGCGCAGGCTCAGCTGCTGGCGAAAAGGCCCCGGTGGTGTTTTACTACCGAAGATGACCTAGCAATTTTGAGAGAAGTGGCAGCGATGAAGCTCTTTGGCGACGACTTGCAGTGTATCCATATGATTGGAAACTTGAAACGTGTGCTCGGCCGGGAGCTTATTCTCAGAAGCCTGAAAGATCGTGTGGATCTTTTAACCGGTTACTGGAGGCAAGAAGACACCAGAAACTTAAGAAGGCAAGTACCAATTTTTATGTATTGTCCGCGCAGATAGCATTTAATCCCGCGCGAGAGCTGTCCAACGTGCGCGGCAAGCTTCGCCGGCAAGACTTTAAGCCGTTCGCGCCTCGAACAAACATAGTCGCTCTGTCAAAAGCAAACTGCGGTCGTCCACGTCGAATCTATCAAGTGGCTGCCGTGCGCTCTGTAGCTTGTGAGCTCCGAATTGATGCTTCCACTTGCTTTAGATTCACGTCGCTTGGCTCGTATGTTTTGCCCACATATGTGGACAAAACATACATATGTGGACAAAACATAAGAGCCAAGTGCGACTATTCTAGCGAATACTTCACCATAAAATTGAGTTCAAAAATTGGCGCTACTGCGGTGTTTCATAAAAACGCCACCAGATGGCAATAGCTTTCCAAGGCGCACCGGCAAATGGGCACATAAACATGGCATGCTCCACAAGTCGTGCTTCGAGGTAGGTGCCTGCATTTGTTTTTATAAGTTTGGCATAAAGGCCTGAAATTTAGTTTATCATTTAGTGTTATTCTAAAGAAGAAAAAGTGTATCTTGTTTTGATGCAAGGTTTGTTGCAATGCGAGCGTCTCACGTTCATCAACACAACTCTGGCGGCGTCCATGTGTGTGGACAGTAGGCCTACAGTGTTGAGAGAAGTGTCAGGGGAATGCTGCATGGTAGTAGGGGACGCGTTGCTACCGCACGGCTATGCACAAATGTTTCTCTGTAACATGGTGAAATGAGTATTTTGAAACTTGCGTTTAGACATTATTTTCTTCGTTTCAGACGTTGACTAAGCGACGAGGACATACAGGCCACAATTTTTGAATGGCCCAGCGGAAGCGCGTGTTCCGATCACGACCTCCTATCTAAACTTCCGGATGGATGGATGGATATGGCTGTGCCCTTTAGATCGGGTGGTGGCTAGCGCCACCAAGCCGTAATACCTAATGAACCAAAAACTAGATTTATATTTTTTCCCCTTTAAATAGTGAGGTTGAGGATGCGTACTTTGCAGTGAAGGGTTTTATTTTCACTCGTGCCTTGACTTTAGCCACCAATCAGATAACTTCCTTCTAGTTAATTCATCATCATCATCATCATCAGCCTGTCTAAGTCCACTGCAGGACAAAGGCCTCTCCCATGTTCCGCCAGTTAACCCGGTCCTCTGCTTGCTGTTGCCAATTTATACCCGCAAACTTCTTAATCTCATCTGCCCACCTAACCTTCTGTCTCCCCCTACTCCGCTTCCCTTCTCTGGGAATCCAGTTGGTGACCCTTAATGACCAGCGGTTATCCTGTCTACGTGCTACATGCCCGGCCCATGTCCATTTCCTCTTCTTTATTGCAGCTATGATATCCTTAACTCCCGTTTGTCCCCTAATCCACTCTGCTCTCTTCTTGTCTCTTAAGGTTACACCTACCATTTTTCTTTCCATTGCTCGCTGCGTCGTCCTCAATTTAAGTTGAACCCTCTTTGTGAGTCTCCAGGTTTCTGCTCCGTAGCTAAGTACCGGCAAGATACAGCTGTTATATACCTTCCTCTTAAGGGACAGTGGCAATCTACTTGTCATAATTTGAGAGTGCCTGCCGAATGCGCTCCACCCCATTCTTATTCTTCTTGTTACTTCCACCTCGTGGTTAGGCTCTGCGGTGTTATTACCTGCCCTAAGTAGACATAGTCTTTTACAACTTCAAGTGCACTATTACCTATCGCAAAGCGCTGCTCCTTTCCGAGGTTGTTGTACATTACTTTCGTTTTCTGCAGATTAATTTTAAGACCCACCTTTCTGCTCTCCTTGTCTAACTCCGTAATCATGAGTTGCAATTCGTCCCCTGAGTTACTCAGCAATGCAATGTCATCGGCGAAGCGCAGGTTACTGAGGTACTCTCCATTAACTCTTATCCCTAACTGTTCCCATTCTAGGCTTCTGAAAACGTCCTGTAAGCACGCAGTGAATAGCATTGGGGAGATTGTGTCCCCCTGCCTTACACCCTTCTTTATTGGTATTCTGTTGCTTTCTTTATGAAGCACTATGGTAGCAGTTGATCCCCTGTAGATTTCTTCCAGAATGTTTATATATATTTCATCTACGCCCTGATTCCGCAGTGTCTGCATGACGGCTGATATTTCTACTGAATCAAATGCCTTCTCGTAATCTATGAAGGCTATGTATAGTGGTTGGTTATACTCTGAGCATTTCTCTATTACCTGATTGATAGTATGAATGTGGTCAATTGTTGAGTAGCCTGTTCTAAACCCTGCTTGTTCCTTTGGTTGATTGAAGTCTAATGTTTTCTTTACTCTGCTAGCAATTACCTTTGTAAATAGCTTGTATACTACAGAGAGCAAGCTGATCGGCCTGTAATTCTTCAAGTCCTTGTCATCTCCTTTCTTATGTATTAAGATGATGTTAGCGTTCTTCCAAGACGCTGGTACTTTTCTCGTCAGGAGACACCTCGTAAATAGAGTGGCTAGTTTTTCTAATACAATCTGTCCTCCATCTTTCAGCAGATCTGATGTTACCCGATCCTCACCAGCAGCTTTGCCTCTGTGCATACTTTCCAAAGCTTTTCTGACTTCTTCTATCATTACCGGTGGGCTGTCGTCTGGGTTACTGCTAGTTCTTATAGTATTAAGGTCATGGTTGTCTCGGCTACTGTACAGATCTCTGTAAAACTCCTCCGCTATTTTAACTATCCTATCCATATTGGTAGTTATTTTGCCTGCTTTGTCCCTTAGTGCATACATCTGCCTTTTGCCTATCCCAAGTTAATTCTACCCGCTTAGTTAATTCTACCCGCTTAAAGTCTATTTTGCCCTCCCTGTCCCTAAACACCAGTGCTTTGAAAAACTCTGCGCCATCATCATGAACTATGGGGTGAAGCCCTTTAGAGAACATTATCAAGTGTTCGGCAGTTTCTTCTTCTTCTCCACACGCGCTGCAAACTGTGTCTGCCCTTTCGTATTTGGCCCGATAGGTCTTGGTTCGCAATACTCCCGTCCTTGCCTCAAACAGTAGAGAACTACCCCGAGTATTATCATAGATCCTTTCCTTGGCAATTTCCTGCTTAAAAGTTTGATAGATATCTAGTGTGGAATTTTTAATCATGTCAAGTCTCCACATATCGGTTTCAGCTTCCTTCACCTTCTTCTTAACCAATAACTCTTTTTGGTTTGGCCCCCTGCTGTTTTCTAAGTATTTAACAGTCAATTTTCTGGTTCGCTTCCTCCATCTTGTATCGACGTTCTTCATGTAGAAGTAGCTGAATACCTTCCTAGCCCAACGCTCCTCCCCCATTTCTCTCAATCGCTTCTCAAATTTTATCTTGCTGCTAGTTTCCCTGCCCTCAAATGTTGTCCATCCCATATCACCTTGTACTCCCTTATTTGGTGTATTCCCGTGAGATCCTACGGCAAGCCGACCTATTCCACGTTGCTTAAGTTTTAATCTTGCTTGAACTTCTGATCTCATGCACAAGACTGCATTGCCGAACGTCAGACCGGGAACCGGGACCACTTTCCATATTCCTCTCACAACATCATACCTATTGTAATTCCACAGTGCCTTGTTTTTCATTACCGCTGCATTCCTGTTACCTTTAGTCGTCACGTATGTTTCATGTTCCCGTAGGTACTCGGCCCCATTGCTTATCCATACGCCCAGATATTAGTGTTTATCTGTTATCTCTAGCGTGACCTCCTGTATTCTAAGCTCACTACCTTCATTGTCATTAAAAATCATCACTGCTGATTTTTCCTTACTGAATCTGAAATCTAACATATCTCCCTCATTACCGCAGATGTCCACTAATCTCTGCAAATCTTCCTTGTTGTCGGCCATTAGCACTATATCATCTCTGTACATCAATGCTGGTAGTGCCTGTTCAATGAGTTTTCCTTGTTTCACGAAACAGAGGTTGAAGCCCAGTCCACTTCCCTCTAATTTGGCCTCTAATCCTTGTAGGTACATCATGAATAATAAGGGTGACAGCGGACACCCCTGCCTAAGCCCCCGTTTTACCTCTGCAGGCTTGGATACCTGTTTTTCTCACTTTATAATAACCTTAATTTGTTACCTTTATAGATATTCTTTAAAAGATTAGTGACTACATCTTCCACGCCTAGTGTGCCCAGTATTCCCCACAATTTCTTTTGAACCACGCTATCGTACGCTCCCTTGATATCTAAAAATGCTAGCCCCAGGGGCCTTTGTTCCTTTTCTGGTATTTCGATGCTTTGTGTCAGTGAGAACAGATTGTCTTCCAACCTGCTGTGTTTCCGAAACCCATTCTGCAGTTCCCCCAGAACCCCCTCATCCTCTATGCATGCCTGCAGTTTTTCCTTTATAACCTGCATCGCCAGCCTGTAGACCACTGATGTCACTGTTATAAGACGGTAGTTGTTTATGTCAGCTTTGTCCCCCTTTCCTTTATAGATCATGTTCATCCTGCTAAGTTTCCATCCATCGGGAACTTCTCCATCGTTTATTATTTTGTTCACTACCTCTCTCAAAGCCTGCTTAGACTTCCGACCTAATGTCTTTATCAGCATAATTGTAATGCCATATGGGCCTGTTGATGTACTACTAGGAACCCTTTTCTCAGCCCTTTCCCACTCTCGTGAAAATGGAGCCATTGTGCCAATTGATTCATCCTTGTCTATTGTGGTGCGTAAAGCACTTCTATGTTGAAATTTTTCTGTCACCCTTGTTCCTATATATTCAATAGCTTCATCCCCTTTTAGCCTAGCACCTTGAGCTGTAGTTATAAATCTCTGCTCTAGGCTCGTCTCATTTCTTAGGGAGTTTAGATGGTTCCAAAACTTCGCAGCTGCCTTTCAATTTTTTTATGTACTTCTGCCAGCCACTGAGCTCCCTTTCTTCTAATCTTTTCATTGATCAGAAAAGAATGCATCCCTTCTACAGCTTAGAAAGTTTTCCCATTTTCTTTCAACATATTCTGTCGGTTCACCCCGCTGCTTAGCATGTCTGTGTTCCCTAGAAGCTTCCTGACGTTTTGCTATGGCTCTCTTAACTTCCTCATCCACCAACCTTTGGATTTGTGTCTTCTTTTCCGGGGTGACTTGTCCTGTGTCTTAGCAAGCTCTAGCTCAAACAGTCTAATTAGATTTGTGTATGTCCACACTGTTTTATTATCCTCATTGATTACTTTCTCAATTTGCTTAGTGGCTATTTCAATTTGCCTTTCTGAATACAATTTTTCCTGTAGTTGCTTATCTTGTCTCCTTTACACTTTCACTGCTCTTCCAAAACTTAGCTTGATACATTTGTGATCACTACCCAGACTTCTGGAGCCACCTTCATCTATGTGCATTCCCCTGAGCTTATCATACATCCTATGTGACATCAATGCGTAATCTATTGTCGACTGCAGCCTTCCTACCTCCCATGTTATTTGCCCTTCACACTTCTCGGTACAGTTGCAAATGATCAAATA